ACTCTTGAATTGCATTTGTGGTCTAAATTCTGTGAGGTATGGTGATATTTTTAGGAAAAAAAAAGAAGCATAACCTCTCATCTGTTTCAAATTATGCATGAAAAACACAAAGTATATTAGCAAAAAATAGATTTGCATACAGATATTTTGCAAAATACAGGAATGCCAAAATGCAATTACAGGAAAGGAAATAATGCAAGCAGGCAATCATTTACCATCCTCACATTTTCTCACTGAATGCTGCCTGCCTTTGGTGAGTATCCAGTGAAGCGTAATAAACACGGTATTTGAAAAAACATGCTTTTTCCTGTCTATCTGCTACCTAGAGAGCTCCTGATACCTAACCTGGAAGCAGATAGGACTCAAAAAGGTGCCTCTTTTCCAGGGAAGATGTGACTTTCCCTCCAAGGGCCTGGGGCACTATGCCTCAGATGCTAATAGCTCGAGTTGTGTGCAATAGCCCTATATTGTTTATATAGCACTTCACATGTTCAAAGCACTATGAGATATCAGCCATCACTAAGCTTTTATGAGGCTGTATTACCCACTAAACATCAGGGTTCAAATGACTTGCTCTTGATCAAAAGAAACTTTGTGCTGCAGGACCATAATTATTTGAATTTGGTAATTCTCGCAGACCGTTCCTATGGCAACGCAGAACCAAGAGGGGGGATGGGATATTAAAGCCATTTGCTCTTGCACTCTGCTCTGGCAGCGAGATATGGACACATGGAGGATCTCTTAAGCAAACCTGCACTCAGCACCTTCTGGTTAAAAAAAAAAAAAAAAAAATCAAGAGCACAAATTAAACAGAAGATTTTAAAAGCCCCCAAGAGTGTTTTTCTGAATTTATCAGTTTCATATAATCATTGTGAAGAACCTAAAAGACAACATGCAAGCAGTACTGAAATACACCAGAAATCCCAAAGTGGTGCTCCAAATTCATTCTGAATCAGTTTGGGTTTTTTTAAACCAAGAGGATTTGTAGGCAACTTAAAAATCAATCGGTCCATTTTCTGCAGGTAGACAACTACAATCTATTGTCTTACAGTTGATTAAAAAAGGACTCAATAACTTTTAGAAATATAGAAATTTTTACTCTCCATATTTATACATACTTTCTTCCTATGAAAATTCAGTTTCTGTGCTGACATTCATAACTGTAGCCCCCAAGTATCAAGTCTCCATTCCCATCAAAGGAATACAAAGATATTGCAAATTAACCAGTGAATCCACAGTACATATCACAACTAAATAAAGGTTTGACATAAATGCTAAACAGGACACATCCTGAAGATTCTTCCCTTTACAGCTGAAAACATTTTATATAAAAATACTAGCACTGAGATTGAAGACAAAATAAGAAAACTTATCCACCATCCAGTGCCCATCCTACCATACAACACTGCCTTTCCCTCCTCTCATATTTTAACTTGTACACAGTCTTGGTTTCCACAGATACCATGTGTTCTCAGAGTGCAGCTTCACAATTATTGGCCTTGGAATCTTCTCTGCAGAATCACATGGGAAACAGATCAGACCACTAAGACAAAAATGTAGAACACTACACATCATCCAGATTCATCAAATAGGAAAAGGATGCCTGTTTAAAGCTATCACAGGAAGAGGGAGGGAAAGAAATTCCCTTCAAAGGCAGTAATGAGTGGAGAGAATCACTTACAGAACCTCTTCTGTTTTAGTCACATTGATCATGTTGCTATTAATGTTTCCCCCCTCTATCTTACAACTTGCACTTGACATTTTTCAGGTACAGGCCACACGGAACTCTATGCCAGACTGTGCTCGCAATTTCTACTGTCTTGACTTACATTGCCTGGAAAGTTAAATTACTGAAATATTTGCTAAAATATTGAAGTTTGAGCATAACATCAGTAGGTGAGCATTACTTCATGGATATTAGTGTAAGAAGCAGTTACCACACTCCATCTACCGATCTAAAGAACAGATGTTTGCATATGATTTATGGACACTGAAGTATGTGTGTATCTTCCATAAATAGTAATATGTTCCAGTAACAAAGAGTGGGGAACTGGGATCCAAAAGGCTGGGAAAATACAGGCAGTATTAGAATTTATTTACCAATTTCTTGGCTTTAAATAAAAAGTAAAGCTTATAGAGCCAGGATCTCAATCCCATGGGTTGGAAAAGCTCTTACAGTTTCACAAAGGACTAACAACATGAAGTAATAAATTGCATTCAGGCTCAATAGGTCAGATATAAAAGTCTGTTTAGAACATGAGCACAACTATGATTTGTTAAATAAGAGTAACAATTTATATTGATTGAAGCACAATAAATCTAAAGCACTATGCAAAAAGCCAATATTGCCTTGGGTATTTTTACATTAAATTTGGGGTTGGAAGGCTCTTTACTATCAACATTTAACACAATACTAATCAGGTAAAATTCTAATGGGCAAAGTACAGTTTTGGGCTCTGCAATTAAATTATTTCTGGAAGTGCAATCAAATATTTGATTGAACTAACATCATTGCTGCTCCTCACATTTGTTCTGTTCCTAAATTAGCTTGGCTAATCAGCATCCCACCTCATAGCCAGTGTTGTAGACATGTAATATTAGCTGATGGGTTCAATTTCAAGAGCACAGTTAATTTTTGGACAGCAAAACTTAGTCAAAGGCTACAAACATGTGAAGTAGCATATTTATAGATGTCACTGTGTCTAGGCCAGCAGAACTCTGATGGGACTCAGTGAATTCAGATTGCTCTGTGATGGCTATACATGTCAAACAAGTTTTGATTTAATTTAAAAAACAGTCCTGAGGATATTATTTCGCCTCAAAGTGGGTTTTTTTGGTGGGTCGAGATATTTTTTTCACCCTCTTATTCTATGAGCAAGAATCAGGATGATTCTGCATAGCTTTCTTCATATCATAATATAAAATAAGCAGCCTTGTAGAATGCAGAATTTAAACAAGGCAATCACAGTTTTTCCTCCTGTCTCAGGCTGGCATGCCTGCAAGATATTATGCAGCTGCTACTTTTCCCCAGAGATGGGTGTACTCCAGTAAATGGTGAAATACTCCCTAAACCTTTTTTTTTTTTTTTTCCCCAGCAGAGGTTAACAAAGATATTTCCATAGGTTTAAGACAACATGAAAACACGGTGATTGTCTAGTTGGATTTCTTGGAAAACACTAACCTTAGATTTACTGCATCAGTAATTAGGAGCTGATGATATACTCCAACACACTACAGAAACAACTGCAGTTAGTGTCTGTAGAATACAGTGAGAGTCTTAGATTACAGTGACAGTTATTTCATTCTCTTCTTGCACTTTTTAAGACCACAGAAGAAACAAACACTTTTCATTTTGTCAGAGAAAGGACTTCCTCTTGATAGCTGCACAGATTTTTTACTTTCAGCATATAACTGAATGTCACACAAGAACAAATTGAATTTCTAATAACTACAGTCAGCTGGATTTAATTCCTTTTGGTGGAAGCACAGCAGTGTCAATATTCAGAGATTTAGTATTACTGCTAATTTATTGCAAGTAAAATGTCAATACTACACGAAAATTTGTCATTTTAGAAAGGTTTAATAAAAAAGATGAACACAACACAAAAAATAGAAAATATAAGAACTGATAACTCATCATTCTACCTCACTTTTTTTCCAGATGAGCATCCAGGTGTCAGCTGGTGTAAACGCAGATGCCACTGACGTCAATGGAGCTGTGTCAGTTTACACTAGCTGAGAATCTGATCCCAAGTGTGCTAGTGCCACTTTTAGATGCTGCCACTGGAATTCACTTTTGCGAGACAATTTAAAAAAAATACATCCACACATTGCATTTCTTCCTGTCCCCGAGAGTATAGCTGGAAATCTGTTGACAGACTGTGGGAGAGGGCAAGCAGGAGGTGAAAGTAGCCAACAACTGTATCGACGAGATAACTTTCCAGTATCAGTATTAACCCTGTTCTGTTGTCTTCCTTTTATACAAATGAATATTTGTCTTGAAAAAAATCTGAATTCTACCTTTCCATAAGAATTAAATGTCATCAAAAGAAAAATGATTCTGTAAACTGTACAGAATACGTCTCATAAATATGTTAACATACTATGCTAACCAGGATACAATCTGGATAGATCATTCTAATGCATCATTAGAAAAAGTATCTAAAACTACAAGAGCCCCAGGCTCGAGATCTGTGTATTCACCAAAGTATTTGTTCCCAAGAAAACTCCCTTCTGTACAGGCAGTAGGATTTGGTAAAAGTTCTAAGACAGCTGGTTAAAGTAGCCTGCAAGCCAGACTTGTATCTGGTTGACAGCTATCATTCATATTCCATCTAGCATTTCTATGTGGGGGAGAGAGCAGGAAGAAAGGGAAAGGTGGGGCAATAAGCAGGGCAG